CCAGAGGGCAGGTTCCCCAAGTAGATCCTAGCGGGGCTCTGAGTGGGGAGTGGGGTAGGGAGATGTGTGCCTGTGTGGAAGATGTGGAAGATGTGGAAGATGCGGATGGCGGATGGCGGGCACATAAATAAAAGACGAGCAATAATAAATTCCAAGGCCCCCAAGCTCAAGTAGAAGATACGTACGGCTGTGGCAGATTATTAATATTTTCCATACTGCTTTTGTGCTCTCAATACTTTGTTGTTTGAGTTCTTGAAGATGAGCGGGAACGGGAATTGGAACGGGTATGGGGACGGGTATGGGCACAAGGGTCTCAGCTCCAGCTCCATCTCCATCTCCAACTCGAGCTGGTGCCTTAGCCGTAGCGGTAGCTGCTGCCGTCGGCGCAGCATATTGTGCAGAAACATAAAAATAAATCAGCACAAAAATGAAAATCAGCGTCAACATGCAGGGCACATCGCTCCGCACCAGAGCAGAGCAGAGCAGACGAGACGAGGTCCGTGCCACATATGAGTTGCAAGCAATCGGGCAAGGCATGGCAAGCGGTCATCGAGTGCCAGTGTGAGTTGCAACTTTTATTGGTGGCTGGCTCGTTGAGCCAAGGACACAAAACCACATATGTATACACGCCGCAAAATGCTCTGCAAGGACATTCCAATTTATATAATTTCGAGTGCCAAACCCAACTGCCTCACCAAGCCTTCGAAATATTGTGATTAAAAGCTGCAGAGCACGCAGTTATTGAAGAACGAGTCTCACATTTTATGCGCCTACTTTTTGTTTTATTTATATTTATTGTAAATATTATTTAAAGTTATTGTTAGGCTATAAAGGTCGGTTATTTATAGGTAGAGTTTATATTTGTCAAGCATGCAGATATTCATGAAAAGTGAGGAAGGTAGAGCTGGCAACGATTTGACTCCAGATCGACTTAATCGATTCTTGATTTTAAATTTGGGAATTTATTTTAATAATTATTAGTTTCGGAGATTCTTTCACTTTCTACGTGGAAAGCTGCTTGAAATCGAACTAAAACTCAACTTATGTATTAATTATTAATTTATTTCTTGGATAGCTATGAGGCGGATGAAAACATTTTTTCAATTAAGCATATATAGCTTTGCTTTGATTTGCCTAAACACATCAATAGATAAAACATGAAGCACACATCCGACATTGCTTAAAGCAACTTAATCCATGGATAATATAAACTAATTTTTTATATCTTAATAATAAATCAACTAAAAATCTTATCGCATAACTCTACCTGTTGGAGCAGATTCGATTAGAATTTTCATAGCATTGAAATTTTTATAACACATTTAATATGCGGTTGATAGCAACGGAACAGACAACTCTCACAAACTACTAAGGACAGACAGATAATTTGTACACAAATGCCAGATATTCAACGTAAAAAAATTTGTCAACGGGTAGAAAACTATAGTTTCATGTGCAAAATACATGCCTGTCTTCTGACCATAGCATATCATATTATTGATTTATTTTCGATTTAAAATTTATTAAATTTATTCATTTAGACTAAGCATAAAACAATTAACCATAACATTTCCCCGGGCTAAATTTTGCAAATGGCTGCGAGTTGGAATTCAAAAGCGAATGAATTGTTTTGACTCTTAGCATGAAATTCCAGTTCTACACCATTTTGTTTCTCAGTGTACGCCCACATGCATGGGCGGGCAAACAATGCAAGGGCCACAGTAGCTAAATGAGTGTAAGCCACAAAATCAACGAGTTAAATCGTGTAAACAATGAAACAACAAGCCAGCAGGCGAGCAGCAGAAGGACTGAAGAACCGAAGTACCTCAGCCTCGCACACTCGCCTCGGCATGCCAACGGCCACGCCCCCACGCCCCTATGCCTCCACTCCCGCCCATCGCTTTCAACATGTTGGCTGCAGCGCATTTATCAAATTCTAATATGCCAGTCCACAGTCCACAGCCCAAAGGCCGCCAACTGTCGCTGCTCGATGTCTGCTTACGTGATTATAAATGCTGGCATTGTTCGCTGAAGATGTGGCAGCGAATGTCCTGGAACGCCACAAAGTATGCAACACTATGCGCATCGGACCTCGAGTCCCAAAACGAGCCAGCCATGAATTATTTGAAAATGAAATCTAATTCAAGAACAGCTGATGATGAAATCTAATGCGGGAGGGAGTCTTTAAACCGATTTATATATTCTTTTTCTTTTTCAAAAAACATTTTGTATATACAAATTTAAGCTTGAGAAGAAAACACCTCCACAGCATCGCACAGATCGCCATAAATGGCAAATGATTTAATGCTGAATATAATAAATATATTCTGTTCAGCTGAAAAGCATGTTCCATCAGCGTGTTTTAATTCGGAGACGTCTGTCCAATCGTGATGGAAATTCATAATTCAATTTGCCAATATTCATGCTCAAATGTTACGCTTTCAATTAAATATCCAAATGGGAATGACACAAAAGGAATAAAGCGGTTAAACATTAACTTATTTCTGATTAACGATGGCACACTGTCAGAGCAGAGAGCGCGCTTGTTAATAAGCCTTCAATTAAAAGTGCTTTGTTTTATTGACATTTAAAACAAAAAACAACATCAATTTGTCAATTACAATATTTTTAAGTGCAACTACAACACTCGATGAGCGCCAGCGCTGCAATCGTTGAACTTTTAATTCCATTTGGGCTTAAAAACCAACAAATAAATCAAAGTCATGTCGAGGACACAGCGCGGGATATGGCGTGGCGTGGCCGATTTCGGAAACTGGCAATAGTACAGCCACTATTCAGGACATTTGAAAGGACTGACAAACATGCGGAGATGGTGAAACTTTTCAATTTCGCCGCAGTTGCATTCGTGATTTAAGTGGCAGCATCCAACTAATATACGAATTCCGCGCGTATCGTAAATTGAGACGAATCGCTCCGCGGGGAGTTGGAGGGAGGGGGTCGGGACTTTCCACTCTGCTCCATCGGCGATCATAATTTAAGCAATCATTTAGGCGTGTCGCAAATAAAAAACGCATGAAATGCGTCATGCATTTGGCTAAAATCGTTTGCTAGAATTTCATTTGGGTGCGCATTCAATCAAAACTGCATTCAATTCAATTGAATTCAATTTATTTTATTGCAAATTTTGTGCACTTTGACTCGGCAGCAGTGGCAGCAGAGGCAGCCATCGCCGCGAATAAACAAAAAACCGATGGATTTTTTAAAATTTCAGATTAACTGGGATATTTATAGGCGGCCGGCTGGCAAATGTTGATACGATGCCAACGACTATGGCGCAAAGGCAGGAATGCGAGCGCGGGTCAAACGATATGTGGCCCCAGAACTCGTTTTTTATCAAGCCCGCGCACAATGGGCCACAAATGTTAAGCACCACAGAAATGCAACAAAAACTGAACGATCCGAGGACATTACTATATTTTAGATCTGCTTGACAGTTCAACAGCAAAAGTATGCAGCGCCGATTTCACTAAATTTGTTCTTGGACGTTGAAGAGCTAGAGTATACAATACACTAATGAATTGTCTTCAAATATTTTTCAAATGTATGCTTTTTAAGATAATTATAAACCACTTTGAACCTGGTTTTCGTTTATTTGTTATTTCTACCGTATAAGACCCAAGTTCCAATAACCAAACCGGAGTTCAGAAAATTCAGAATACGCGAGAACAATGTCTGAACGGCTCGAGTTGCTTAATACAGTATGGCGGATTGTTATAAGTCCTTATGAGCTAGTGACGATGATAATCGATTAACTGTATTCGAGTTCTTCTTAATCCCAATATGGCACTGCTTTAAACAGCATACACGAGATTAGGTAAAATGTGTACTTTTATCAGTTTATTCAAATTAAGTTCTAACAAGTTGTGTTTAATATTATAAACAAATGTGTGAAGACGATTAAAGACAGTTCATTGAACACAAAAACAGAAACTTGATCAACAATAACAATAACTCGTCATAATTAACAACTATGTAGATCGATTTAATTACGTGTCACTCACGATGATGCTACTTGACGACTCTTTGATGCTCTCTCATGCTCCTCCTCTTCGTCCTTGTCAGTCCTGCCAGCCGGTGTCACTCACAGCTGCCTCCAACTCTACTCCAATTCACATATACACAAGTATGTATACTATATAAATTATTTAGTTTAACACTTAAACGTCTAGTTGATAGAATTATTTGCAAATAGAATTTGGTGATGAATGATTTAGAATTAAAATATTACATCTATTAATACATACACATATTTAATTTATTTCACAAATATATAAACATGTTTTAATAAATATGTAAATAATATATCATATCTGTATGGATTATATCAAATATTTTTCGAGATAAAGATAGTCTTGAAATCTTAAAATTACACTCTTTTTAATATCCATAAACAAACACTCTTTTTTCTCATTTTTCCTTTCTTTTTTTAAATGATTGTATTGAAAGAAAAAATCTTTCATAAATAATCTGCATATTTCTATCAATATTTAAAACAAAATTATTATATATTTTTCTCAATTTTGTGATTTTTGTGTAATGGAACTAGCTATTATAAGGCTTTTATCAGACATTACTGTTATGATTTAACCTCCAGTAGAAGGAGTCTATGGCAGTAAGGAGTCTATTGGTTGTGAAATGAATATCTCCCAGACCAAACATTGGTTTTATATATATTCATGTATACACATATAATATTCCTGAATTATTATTAGGTATTTTAATAGGTATTTTTAAAAAAACTGAGAAAGGACATATTGGTTTAGTGTTGAAAATGTTATTGCGCATAATATCTGGACATTGCAATTTCGCTTAGTTATATATGTTTGATAAACAGTAAAAGCAAAGAAACGAAAGGTAGTTTTGCTTAGTTTTTCTGCCAAGTACTTAGCGCTAAATAAATTGATTTTTCTGAAAGATTGAAACAAATTGGAATTGAAAATTAGACACACGCTCTCTCCAAATGTTGTACTCATATAGTATATTAGAAAGCCTTCTTTAATAAACGAGTGAGAAGTATAAACAAAAGTTATAAATAATAAAGATTTTTAGATAATACCAGATCACTTAAAAGAGAACTAAGCTCTAATCGAATCAGATTCACATTCGGCTAATCATCTGTGGGGGCCACTGTGCGGGAGGACAATATTTATTTGTTTTTATGCCGCTGCGCTCTGTGCCGTTGTTTGTGGTCCGCAGAATCAAAAAGGAAATCGAGGGGAAAGAGGGGCTTCACACATTTCATAAATCTTCGCCGCGATTGAGCACAACTACGACAGCTTTTGAATTTGTTGTCGGTTTTTTTTTTGGCTACGGCTTGGCTTGGCTTTGCTTTTGTTTGGGTCGCCGTTTAGTTCGCACGTCGGTGTCAGTGGATTTCTGTGGGCGTGGCAGCTATTGCTTGACTGTTCCACGCCTTCGATGGCGCTGTTCAGTGTCTGAAGCGCGGCACCACAATATCTGGCCCCCTATAGGGCTCTGGGCCCTTGTAATCGCCGTCGCCGCTAAAAGAAACTGCAAACTTGGATCGATGCGGCCGAGAAGGGCTTCTCTGTGTCTTTTGATTCTTGCACATGCCACGTATGCGGGACTCTGCCTCACCCATGCGCCTGTCTCTGTAGGGGAGGAGGAAGCTCCTGGACTCAATATCGTCCGGTCCATCGCTGCACAGGAGGCTGTTGGTCTCCTGTCTGCTGCCTCGCAAAAGGTGCTTCAGAATTCGTCCGATGCAGCCAATGATGACAATAATCAGCAACACTATGATGAGCACCATGCCGACCTGCCAGAAGAATTGCTGCCGTTTGTAGGCATCGCTCGCCTCGAACACCTGCTGGTCCACCTGGCGGGCCACCTCCCGCTTCAGCTTGTGACACTCGAAGGCGGACATGAAGTGTGGTACGGGGTTGTAGGGTGGGAACTCGTTCGGCCACCAGGCGTCCCACAGCTCCACATCCTCATTGGCCAGCAGCTTGCTGCAATGGGCGCACACCTCCCCCATCCAGTGCTGGCACTCCGAGCTGTCAATGTTCAATTTGCAGACTGGATTCATTTTACAAAATATGTGTTTATTTTTCGACAGACAGATGGCAACAGTCGACTGTTTTGATTTGAGGAACAGGGTCGACTACAAATCAAAAGGTTCACTGCGTTTGCCTCTTAGGAGGCTCAGCCAATCGAAAGGCCCTCCTCGCTGCTGCCCTTCTTGAGTCGAGGAGGAGCTGGCGACTTCGGGGTTCGCTGTGGCCTTTCCTTGTCCATCGCTGGGTGTTGAGTCGATAGAATCTGACTCTGAAGTTTCTTGGGTGTCTGTTTTTCGTTCGCTCGTTAAGCTTGAAGTTGTCGATGCCTCCAATGATGTGGTTGTGCTCTTCGAGTTTGTGGTGGCTTTGTGCTCTGATGTTGCCATTTCATCCCCGGTGGTGAGTTCCTCGCTAGTTAATCCAGAGCTTAGGGAATTTCCTTGAGAGAGCCGAAGTGGTTCCCATTTCTGCCGCTCCAAAATATCCAGCGCCTGCTCCTGTTCCTTCTCCTTCTGCTTTTCTTCACTCCTTTTCCCCCTATCTAAGTCTGGCTTGGCGTTTGGCTGCCGCATCCAGCAAAATCTTGCCAGGACAGCCAAGCCAATTATCAGTCCAACTACAGTGAAGCCCAGTGTGGCGGGCGTAATGAGTTCCAATAATCGTTGCCTGTAACTGGCATCTACTGTTAATTCTTTGTTAAGGCTTTGGCAATCGTTGCTCGTCATTAGGCCAGTGGGGAATACTTCTCTGGTATCTAGTTGAGCCTTAGACGCCCATTCAAAGCATTGGGTGCATATTTGGCGAATCAACTGCTTGCACTCAACGCCTTTCGGTTTTGTTTTACAAATCGTATTCATTGCTTTCTTCTAGAAGATGAGAAATTATTGAACTTCAAAATGATGATTGTTGAATTGATTCAGAAACTGTTTCAAAGTATTACTGATTTCCAGCTCTCTGTTCTGTCATTGCTTCTTAAAGAACCTTCTAATCACCAAAAAAGAAATACAGATTTGTGTATTTTGGAAAAGAAAGTTGATACTTAAAGCCTTACAGTTGATTGTTAGCGCACAACAGTTTTTGTTTGCTACAAAGACGCCCAAGGACGTCAAATATATTCTTTCAGGAAGCAGGCGCTGTGTGTGGGTGGCCCGTGTGTTTTTGAATCCTGGCATCGAGCTCGCGATGTCCTGGCTATTCGTCCGTGTCTGTTGCTCATTTCACGCTTCGTTTTTTCAGTGTCGCTCGAATCTCGAACACTTCCCGTTTGCGTTTGTTAAACAGCGTGACTTCAAGCTTAACGACGGTGCTTCATTTTAATGTATATTATTCATTTTATTTGCAATAAACACAATTCTGTAGTAAAAACATTAAATCATAATTGACCAGAATTTGGACTAAAAGTAAAAAAAGTCGCCCGGCTTAAAATCGGGTTCTGGTTCGGGTGGCTGTGGCGGTCGCGAAGGCTCTACACTCTCTTGTACAAATTTCTTTTTCTTCTGCTCTGCCTTTTTCTTCTCCGAAGGTCGGGCATCTTCCCGATCAGGAATGAGGGAAAAGATAGGTGTTACCAGTTCGTTGAGTCTGCGCTTCTTTATAACTTTCGGTGCATCCGATACAACCTCTTCTGCATTGAAAAAACCTATTTCCTTGCCATCGAGTACCGTCTTGGGTAATTCCTCTTCGTTTTTATTTGAAAACATTAATAGGGAGTTGTCGCCGATTTCTGTTGAAGTCGACTTTTTATTACTGCCACCACTGTCATCCGCGTTGCCCTTGGCATAGCTTCCCTCAAAGCCTGTCATTAGATCCATGGGAAACGGATAAATAATTCTGCAGTTGCGCTCCGTGGCAATCGAAGTTAAGATCTGCAGTTGTCTTAGCTAAGCGGGAGAATTTTTAAGTCAGCTTTAGCTACAGATATAGTGTAGAACATCGCAGTTTACCTGCAGTGTGATTATGTTGGTGGCCATGACATCGGAGGCATCCTTCAGAGCTGCCGAGGCATTGAGTTCACCCTGCGCAGAGATTACTTTGGCACGAGCTTCCCGATAGGCCTCCGCCTCGCTGGCCAAGGCGCGCTGCATTTCCTCTGGCAAGCTGATGTCCTTGCTGTGGATTCAAATAAGCGATGGCAAGAAAATGAAATAAAGTAATTCGATTTACATTTCAATGCGCTCCACCTTAACGCCCCAGTGCTGTGTGGCTTCATTAACAGCCTCCGTGATTTGTTTGGACAGCTTTTCTCGGAACTCCACCAGTTTCAGGAACGATTGAGCACCCACAGCATTGCGCAGCGTAGTTTGCGCGAGAAGCAGAGTCGCTACGTCGACATCGTCCACTTGCAGCAGGGAGGCTATGGGATTGTATACAGAATAGAATAATACAGCATCTACTCGTATCGTCACCGAGTCCCTGGTGATCACATCTTGGGTGGGCACCTCCTCCACCCTTGTGCGGAGATCCACAACGGCGTATCTGTCGATGCATGGCAGTATCCAGGTGAGGCCCGGTCCCCGTGCTCCCGCTCTGTGTGCAGAAATTCAAGCTTAGGACCAACCTGCTGCGCTTCGAGTAGCTTTTACCTGAGGCGTCCCAGCCTCAGAACAACGGCACGTTGGAACTCCTTCAAAACCACCAAGCAGATGAAAACTGAGACTGGAAACGTAATCACAGCGAGCACCATCGACAGGATTGTAAAGAATTTTTCCAATCCACGGTTCTCGTATTTCTCAGCTATCGAAAGAATTGCGAGCTCAATACAATTTTTGTAATTGAAGATAACACTCACTGGTTTGTTGGAGAGGTTTCTTTGATTTTTTAGAAGTGCGTCTGCCTTTTTGCTTCTCTTCCTTTCGCTTTTCCTCTTTTCGCTTTTCTTCCTTTCGCTTTTCTTCCCTTCGCTTATCTTCCCTTCGCTTTTCTTCTCTTGGCTGTTCTTCCTTTGGGCTTTTTGTTGGGTCTTCCGCGTCGTCACCCTGCTTATGCTTTTTGTGTCCAAACCCCTCCCAGTTCTTTCCTATAGAACGTTCATCGAGCATTACAGCACTTTAATTTAAAATTCAATTCCGAAACTAATTTTTTTTCACAGTTTCCACAAAGTAAAAGGTTTCTAGATATACCAAAAGAAGTGGTCCTTTGTGGCTTCATCTGCATTTAGCTGCTTTCTTATGGTTTCAAGTCCGACTATTTACTCTCTCTTTGATGACTAAAAGGCTTTCATTCCAAGGAAGAAGAGTGGTCTTTTATTTGAATAGGCCATTACGCCCAAATGTACTTGGGAAAATGCAGTAATTACCATAGATTCGTACACATTTCATGAATACTATTCCACACCATACAGTGCTGCGAAAAGTGAACAAACATTGAGTAATATTCGCTTGTTTTTCCAAACCACAGAGCTGGGAAATGCACAAGCGTGCGAGTTCTCATAAATTTTCCTTTTCCGCTTCATGAGACAGCCGTTCGCAAAGCACTGCGGCAACAGAAAACAAGTGTAGACGGACAGACAGACAGACAGGCAGGCAGATAGACATACATAAGTATATAGTGCTCATTACACAAGTGCAGAAACATACATACATACATAGATATATTATACATATACTTACATGGTTAGCCGCAGAGCTCCACCCGCACAGCCAAGCAACTAGTTTTTAGCTCATAAGCAACCCAGTTCTTGACACATTTTCGGGGGCAAAAACCTAGGAAATGTGAAACCGAAAGCAAGCAAGCCAGCCAGCCAGCCAGCCAGCCAGCCAGCCAGCAATCAAGAAAGAAGAAGAAATGTTATACCCCCACCATCATCAGCATGGCGTGTCAGAGTCTGACGTGGAAAAATTATGATGCGCTCGCGTTCCGAGCCACGAAAGCCTCCAATTTCAAAGTTACAAGCCAGCGCGTCATCTCTTGACGGTTGACATTCGTGGACCGGAAAAGACTGAAAACACTGAAAAGATGGCGGCTTCCGCTGATAATACCTGCAAACGTGACGATAACTGGGCAGATAGCTCTGAAATATTGCAGTGGGCCTACACTCACTGGAGCTATAGCCGAGGCAATTATACCAGAGATGTGAGCTGTGTGCCCGAAGTCCAATTAAAGGGATAGCGAAGCGTAACGAGCGACGTCTCCGTGCCTCAAAACTGGGCTGGAAACGTGCAGGAAAGCGTGCAAACCGCTTAAAATTGTTTCTATTTCAATTTGCGCTGCATTCGGGTTGCCCGGGCGGAAGCGTGACTTTCTGGCTATATTGAAATTTATGTTTCCGACTCCAATCCACACATTTACACAATTTTTGGGCGCAAAACTTTTCATGCCCCATTCCGGCGCACATCCGCGTGTGTGTGTCTGGGCAAGGGTACGGGACCGGGTCCGGGTCCCTGGCCATGTCCATTGCCGCTGGGAATGCGGTGGGAAATTGGTCCATTTTATTCGCATCGACAGTTGCTGCAGCGCTGCTCGCCGCCACTGCAATTGGCACAGTTGGGTATTCCAAATTAACAGGCAACACGATTTGCTTAAAATTCCAATTTAAAAATATTTTCATTGCGCATTCTGACTAACATAATTAGAGAGCCCCGATTTTCAGCTATGCCGACTGTCGACTGCCGAATGCCGACTGCTGAGTGGGGGTCTTGTTTCGATTCGATATCCTCTTCCTTCCTGTTTGCAAATGATTTGTGTAAAGCATTCGAATTGTCAATTGCAATTATTTATTTGTTATGGTCAACGGCAGTGGGAACTCTCCTTTAATGAGATTGCAATTAAATTAGTTATGCCGCCAATATCAGTAACAACCTGCCGAATTGCAAAGCTGAACGGAATGAAGTGAGTGAATATAGTTTGGGCTGGTTTTTAACTTTTCAAAAACCTTTTAAAAATATCTCAATATTAGACATAATTAGACAATAAAGAAAGAAAAAAATCGAGAACATATATTTGTAGTTAAACTCTTCTTTAGTTGCGCAGTAAGTTTCAAACTAATCTCCAAAGTTATAATCATAATTATTAAACAGTTTTATATAAGTGTGTGGAAGAACCACGTGGATCCCAAAATGCAAAGGCAGAACAATAAAGGTTTGAGTTTGAGTTTCTTTAATATAGTGAAGTAAGCAAGACTTACGAGCTAGTTACAATGCGTAAACCAATCAGCTGATCCAACAACTAATATGCTAGCAATATTAAAGGTAGGAAAAAATAAAACCACAACTTGTTTGCATTACAATTAAATCGCAAGAAAATAACATTGAAAATTATATTTCAACGCACGTAATCGGAGGTTATATAAACGTATTCCTTACATATTAGATAATATCGTACTTTAATGGTCAAAATTCCCTTGGCCAATCATTTTAGGAGCAGCTTCATAGATGATCACTTAATGGAAGTTATTTTTAAACAAAAACATATAAGATTTTAAAATGATTTGCTGACATTTTTTGGCGACAAGGTTGTAAGAATGATGTCGCTTTAAAAATTAAATAGCTACATGATATAAAGATGCAAAACTTATAATAAGGAAAACAACATTTACTTCAGCTCATCAGGCTTACCAACACATTTAAGACGCAGGAAAGGGGATCGAAAAATCTAAACCGAGTTTAGATATCATACATAGCTTATATCTCTGGAACCGCATGTTTTTACATAAACTCTGATCGCACAAGATACTTTCAAATTTCATTTCTTAGTCCAAGAAATAGTCAATGATTGTATCAGCATTAACATTGGCCGCGTTCAGCAGGTCATAACGATTTGCGATTTGTGATTTTTGATTATCGATTGTTGCCATTTTATATATTTCCGCAAAGGTCTCGACAAAAATTCTGATTCTCGATTTTTGTTTTGTGATTTCGATTGACATTTTTACTTATCCGAAAAATAAATCACAGCGGTCAGCTGGTGAAATCAGTAATGATCGATCACGACCTGCTGAACATTTCTAATGTCTATATGTAATAATTCTTTCTTATCGGTTTTAGTATAAAGCAGACTCTAATTAAGATTGCAAAACTGAAATATTTTCTCTGCTTCAAAAATAAGTAAAAGGTGACTGCATCCATTGATGGAGATTAAAGTTCTGTCACTCATACGCCATGTTGCCATCAGGCCTACTATATCATGCAATGCACTCACATTGAATGAATTTTTGAAGTGGAACATTGTAGGCTCACTTGCTTTTACGAGCCTGATTGCTATGGCTAACCCAAAAGAGGACTCTGTTTAGTATGTATGTGTGTGTGTGTTCGTAATTTTCGGTCGCTTTCCAACGTAGAGACTGCTGAACAGATGTGTTAATGAAAATGAAAATCACGCGCACTCGGAAAATGTAGCTGAGGTGGAGTGTGCCTCGTGCTGGTTGGTCGACTCAATGGCTCTATAGTATATAGGAGTATGTGAAGTCTTTGCCGCAAGCTGCGAAAATGCATTTCAAATGCAGTCACAGCAGCAGTCGCGGAAAGCGTGGCAACAAAGCCAAGACCAACTCGGGTGGAGCTACCGTCGACGCTGGCTGTCTGAAGCCCGAAAACAGTTAGCAGAGCTCGTTAGTGGTTGTTGTTCCAGCATGTCTGTCTATCTGAGTGGCTGTCTCTCTGGCTGTCTATCTCCATGCGGCTGTCTGTGGCTGTTCGTGCTATAAATTGCACTCAGCACGCACAGCATCTCGTGTTTACAATCATAAAACGCTGCCGGCACTTCAAGCGAGGCCCCACAAATTTTGCGAGACAGCCACAACAAGATCCGGCCAGACGGAGTTAGGCAACAATTCTTTCAAACTTTTATGTGCTGTTGTTCTATTTTCGTGTTAAACACTAGGAATGCGCGGATTGTCAATTGTTGACTTTTTCCAATGCCAATGAAGCACAATACAATCCTACCCCCTCCCCCGAACCATACAATAAAAAAACGAATGCGTGTCTGCGAATTTGAATAAAAATGTCTGCGATGTAGGACGCCTTGTTTTGGAGTTTCTGTGTGTGTGTGTGTGTGTGTGTGTGTGTGTGTGTTTTTTTTTTTTTTTTTTTTTTATAGCTATACGAGCTAAAGGCTGGGTAATCTTCGAAAGATATTGGTAGCCCGAGCTACCAATATGCACGATTCGCATGTGAGACAAGACTTACTCTTTGGCTTGCTCGCGCCTACGTACTAAACCCCCATCCTTATCCGTATCCTCCAGACCATGTGTTCCCCCCGGTACCGCCGTCAAGCATGACTTCAGGGGGTGGTGATTCAGCGAGTGCTGATCTCTAGGGTTGCAGCTCTTTCTTTTTCTGCCATCCTTTGTCGCTTTATGACTTCTCTGGCGAAGTCGCACACATGGGTCCAGTTTTCGATGGATGCCAGCATCAGGTTTACTACCGTACTATGTGTAACCTGCGCCCCTACTACCCTTTCTAGGTGGTTCCGCTGGCGGTCGTATCGCGAACAGTGGAAGAACACGTGTTCTACATCTTCTATGCAACTTGCACATTCCGGGCAAGTGTTGTTGTTGTCATGCTTGTATTTGTGCAGGTATGCGCGAAAACAGCCATGTCCTGTTAGCAGCTGGGCCAAATAGTAGTTGACCTGCCCATGTCTCCTTTCGATCCACTCCTTTATGTTTCCTAACAGCTTGTGTGTCCATCTTCCTTTGGTGGATGTGTCCCAGCGGCGTTGCCATGTTGCCATCGCCTCATCACTTAGCCTCCGGGAGTATGTTACGCCGGTTCTTCTGCCAAGGTACCTCTGCTTTTCTGCCTCTGCCAGCAGCTCTAGCGGTGGCATTCCTGCGATTACTATTGCTGCTTCCGTTGATACAGTACGGAACGAGAAAGCTACCCTAAGGGCACACCTTCGGTAGGCTGAGAGCAGGTGCTTCTTATATGAAGTTTTAGCCATTGCTTCAGACCAGATGGGCGCTGCGTATAGGGCTACTGATGTGACTACATTCATCAATAGTAACCTTCTGTCTTGCCTCGGTCCACCAAGGTTGGGCATTATTCGTGCTAGGGCATTGCTTACTCCAGCACACCGTCCTCCAACATATTTGAGGTGCTCCTTGTAGTTGAGTCTGTTGTCTATCATGACTCCCAGGT